TGTCATCACTCTGGCTTTCCAGAACTCTTGCTCCAGGGCATTTGGACTTGAGAACAGGGCTGTGTCATCACTCTGGCTTTCCAGAACTCTTGCTCCAGGGCATTTGGACTTCGAGGGAAGACAGGTTCAGTGAATGGGGATGACAGGCAGCCTTTGTGTGTTCCAGACCTTTCCCTTTTCTTGCAGGTTCACCTCTGCTAGCCCAGTCCTAGAATGGCACTGCCCCCCAGTCCCTTGGCCATGGAATATGTCAATGACTTTGACTTGATGAAGTTTGAGGTAAAGCGGGAGCCCTCTGAGGGGCGATCTGGACTCCCCACAGCCTCACTGGGCTCCACACCTTATAGCTCAGTGCCTCCTTCACCCACCTTCAGTGAGCCAGGCATGGTGGGAGTCTCTGAGGGCCCCCGGCCAGGTCTGGAAGACCTGTACTGGCTAGCCACCATGCAGCAGCAGCTGGGGGCTGGGGAGGCCCTGGGGCTGAGTCCTGATGAGGCTGTGGAGCTACTGCAGGGTCAGGGCCCAGTCCCTGCTGATGGGCCCCATGGCTACTTCCCAGGGAGCCCAGAGGAAACAGGAGTTCAGCATGCCCAGGTGAGTGACCTGTTGCTGAAGAAAAGGTGAGTGAAGAGAGGAAGGAGAATTTCTGGAGAGGATTATGGACTGGAAAGAAACAGGGCAGGAGAAGGGAAGAAGGGCCCTTGAAAGAAATCAGATAGACAAAACGACATTGTATTTTCAAAATGAAGAGAAATGAGTAGGCTGAATCATGAGAGACACGGAGAAGATTAGAAGAGGACCGAAAGGGGACCGGATGAGAATTAAAGAGTTTTGGGGAGCAAGCCATTTACAAGAGAGTAAACAGATACATGGTGTGTGGAATGGAGCCCAGCTGTGGTTGAGGTTGGCCTTTTCAAGGCTTCGTGCTTCCCAAGGCCCAACCTTCTTAGGACGGATTGGGATTCATCCTATTAATTATAGACACAGACGGGGGTGTTGAGGGCATTAGGACGTAATCCAAATCTTTTGCGGGTCACAGGATTGAGGGCTTCAGGACAGGGAAAAGTGGCGTGTTGGCGGGGCGGGTTCTGTCTGGTCCCCTGTGGGCTGCTGAGGGGTGCGCAGCGTTTGGGTGCGCGTTTCGCTCGCCTCTGCCTTTTAGGCACTTCGGGGCGTGCCTAATGCGGCGCAAGTCGGGTAGCCAGGGCCACTGGGGCATGGCGGGTCCTGGGATGGGGTGTGGACTGAGATAAATTCTGTAGAAGAGCCAGCATTCAGGTAAAGGTGGGAGCCTGGGGAGAGGCTTTCCTGACTCAGGAGCAGTCTGGCTTTGGGACCTGGGTCTAGATCCAGATCCCTGCGCTCTTCCTCCGCAGCTGGCTGAGAGGTTTTCGGATGCGGCGCTGGTATCCATGTCTGTGCGGGAGCTAAACCGGCAGCTGCGGGGCTGCGGACGAGACGAGGCGCTGCGGCTGAAGCAGAGGCGCCGCACGCTGAAGAACCGCGGATACGCGCAGGCCTGTCGCTCCAAGCGGCTGCAGCAGCGGCGCGGGCTGGAGGCCGAGCGCGCCCGCCTGGCCGCCCAGCTGGACGCGCTGCGGGTCGAGGTGGCCCGCCTGGCTCGGGAGCGCGACCTCTACAAAGCCCGCTGTGATCGGCTGACCTCGAGCGGCCCGGGCCCCGGGGATCACACCCACCTCTTCCTCTGAGCCGCTGGGGCAAGGGGGTGGGGTATCGAGGTGGTTGAGTGGGTGGCACCACATAGGAAGAGGCTGCACCACCCACTGAATCGCTACGGGTCGCTCCCTGGTCCCATTACACTCCCTGTATGACCATACAAAGATCTCTAAACTTCTTAACCCTCATGGCCTGCCCGAGGTTCGATGCTGGTCATTTTCTAGGAGATGGGTTCCCTCCCCTCTTCCAGGCCATAAGCCCGCAGGAGTAGCACACTGAGCTCTGCAGGAGTCAGCCAAGTGTGGATGGGCTACGAATGGGAGGAGAGGGAGTGGTGAAGCCCTCCCCTCAGTTTAGTTGTTAATTCAAAGTTTTCAACCTGTAGTGCACTAAGCAATGAGGCTGTATTTTCACTAAAAGTCTTATAACTTCCCCATTTAGGATCAAAGCATCACCAAGATTTCAGCTCCCAAAAGATAGACTATGAACTCCACCCAAGATGCTTTTGCCTGTCCAATCCAGTGGTCTCCAGGGTCCAGAGCAGCACAGGCCTGAGGAATGAGCCCTGGGGGTGGCTAGTGTGGGCTGGAAGAGAACTGTGGACAGGAGTTTACAGCCCTCAATGATAGTCCCACCTCTGTCACAGGATCCCTCTGTTACCCTGGACAAATTAACTGCTCCCTTGGGCCTCAGTTACTTCCATCTAATTGTCAGAATTGTCTGATGTTCTGGCATCTCCCCAGTGAGCAGGTTCCAAAGGTTTCCCCACAAGGCCTCAAGATGGCCTCACCAAAGAGACATCCTGTCCTGCCCCAGCTTCCTGGCTGCAGCCTAGGCAGAGATAGAGCAGCCCAGGTGGGGAAGCATGGCTTCTCTGGGAGCACTCACTGGCGCTGCTGCTGCCTTCAGGCTGTCTCAGCCTTGGAACGTACAGAGGGGGCCCCTGCTACATCCTGCCTCTTTGAGGGCCTAGGTGAGACTTCCCAGAATAACAAGGAACTGAGAGTGTGCAGCTCTTGTGAATTAAACTTGAAGTCCACATTGAATTCTAACGCTGTTGGCTAAATGTTCCTGCAGTTTAAGAAGTGTTCATTTTCTATTACTGCTTTACTGTTTCAGGCTACTGTTTTGCGTGTCCATGTGTGTTTGTAGGGGGTTGGGGGGTGGGGGGCACAGAAAATATGAGAGAGATCCCATGCGGAGCTGAGAAGTGTACATCTCAGTTCTGGAGGCCCAATGAGGTGGAGGTGGGGATTGGTCCAGATGGAGCTTCTCCCTCCCACCACCACCACAAAAGCCCAAGAGCAGCAGCTGCTGGCTAGGCCTATCTGTGGTTATCCTAGAGGTCTCACAGTTGCCATGGTAACCCTGTTCGGTGGCATAAGGTCTCTGGGCAGAGCAGAGGTGTTGAGCTAGGAGAGGACACCTCACCAGCCACAGTTGTCCATCCTCTAAGGGACATAATAAATGGAAGAAGCAGTCGAGTGTGGGGGAAGTGCTCCCATATGTCTTTCTTCCTTTCTGCCCCCTCTATCCACCCCCTGCTCAGCTGTGCCTTCTCTTCCCATCACAGTTCTTGTTCTCTCCTCCCCCTCCTCTAGCCCAGCTCACCCTTCTTCCACTCATGAGCCTGCAACAGGAGTCCTCCTCTCCCTCCCTCTCGGACTTTCTCTCTTCTCTCCCTTCCCTACCTTTGGTTAATGGCTATTCTCTCTGGCTCTGGATTCCCTCTATGAGGACTCACAGCACCTTCCCTTCCACACTCACTGTCAAAGGAAGAGGTTGGGGCAGAGAGGGCCCCTCCAGGAGCTCAACTCTTCTTTCCTTACTCTCGGCTTTTGTTGTTATTTTTCAAGACAGGGTTTTGATATGTAGCCCAGGCTGTCCTTGAATTTGAGATCCTCCTGTCTCCACTTCCCAAATGCTGGGATTACAGTGTGCATCCCCACACCCAGCATTTTCCTTACTCTGAATTTCACCTATGTCCTCTGGGGAGCTGCAATCCAGACCCATTCTTGCACACCTTTCTTATCTGCATGGCACACAAGCAGAGACACTTGCCCCACACACTTGTGTACACAGCTTGGCCACATATACATACACCCAGGTCTCAAAATGATACACCTAGGTCACACAGATAGCACTCAGATAGTTTGCACACACTAGTGATGAAGAGTGTAGGTTCTTTAGCCAGGTGGACCTGCATGCAAGTTCCAATTCACCAGCTCTTCTCTAACCATAGGTGAGTTAAAATCAAGCTTCATTGCTTTGTCAGAAAGAAAATAGTGCTGTCATTTACCATTATAACTTACGCTTTTTTTTTTTTGGCTGTACTGGGGCTTGAACTCAGGGCTTCATGTCTGCTAGGAAGGCACTCAACTGCTTGAGCCATGCCTCCAGCCCAAGAAGCAAAGTTTGACACATGGTAAAGAATAATCTTTGCTGGTGTTGCTGGTGTTGCCATTCAGAGTACACAGATGGACTTTTTGAACTACTGAGGCCACACTCGTGGAGGAGCAGGGATGTGCGGTGTACATGAATGCACACCCAGGAAAATCAGGCCTTGCAGACCTTACATGCCCCGTCTATGCTCCTACCTCATTAGGAGGCCTGCTGCCCTCCTTCTGTCCCCCCATACTGCTTCTTGGCCTGCCCCACAGCTGTGTGGGGGCTGGGGTTCAGCCCCTGGGAGACTTAGCAGGGCCTCTCTGGAGACAGCTGTGAGAAGGTATCAGCCTGCCCTCTTGACAGCCTCTTATTACTCTTCCCCATCTCCTGCAATCAACCCCCATGGTGTCTAGACCCCCTGGGCTTGGGAGGTGAGAGTAGGGGCTCCTTAGATCTCACTGGCACAGAGCTGGGGTAAGACTGCAGGATAGCAGCCTGTTTGGGGTTTCCTATGCTGTGTGTAGGAGTTGTGGGCTACCCAATGGGCATCTGAGGAATGATGGGTACAGGCCGAAGTGCTAGGGGTGGTTCCCTTTATTAACTGCCAGAAAGTCAGAATCACTGAAGGAAGTCACAGAGGGGCCATAGAGTTGAGGGGTATGGTGCTTGGAGAGATGGAGCAGGGCCCATCACTCACTTCCAGGACCCAGGGAACATAGCTGGTCCAAGAGGCAGAGGCACTGGTCACTTACAGCCACAAGGGTCTCGGGACAGGCACCTGGGAGAGGATGGTGTAGTTACAAGCACTCCTCTACTCTACCCCCAGCCAAGATGAGCTCCCCGGAAACCCTACTTTACATCCCTTTTTTGTCCATGCCTTTGGGTCCCCAGGACTCACTGAGAGGCTGAGGGAGTGTCCGTTTGGTGGGAAGCAGTCAGGGGCTGGGGCTGGGGGTGGTGGCCGGTGTGCAGGGCCTGGGAGCCCCAGGGCTGATGCCCTGACTGGCATAGTACTCCACCACCTGCCGGGGCACCTCAGCCAGGACGCACTTCGCTAGCGCAGAGGGAGCCGCCTGGGGGAGGATTGCAGACACAGGGTTACTGACAGAAGAGGGGGACACACCGGAGGTGAATGAGGGAGGGGCGGGACTTTGCGATGGCCGGCTGGGTGCCTGCATCATTCTCAGTATGACCAGTGGGTGAGACCTACAGGTCGGATTTGGGGGCCTGAAGCACTAAGGAGTCTTTTGGCCAGGAAGGGGCAAAGAGCACTCACATCCTTGAAGTCCCTGAACGGTACGAACTGGACGATGTCTCGGGCTGCGGGCACCCCTCGGGGGCAGCGCAAGGGACCGTCGTCGCCATCCAATAGCCGCATGTCAGAGAAGTCAGCATTACCACGCCAACAATAATAATGGACATGGGCAGGCGGGAAGCACGCACGATGGCAGCGCGGGTCTCGGCCATGTCGCTAACCACGCCGTCAGTGAGCACCAGCAGCACAGAGTACTTCTGATGGCAGGAAGAGGAGGAGGAAGGGTTGCCTCTGCATGCAAGGGCATTGACATTCATCCCAATCCCAGGTCCTGACCCCAGCACCCGAGGACACAGGGCAGCACCCGGCTGTCCTCTTGCCTCCTCACCGTGGCTTGGCCAGTGCTCTGCTCTCGCTGGGCTGGCCCAGCTACACGGTTGATGATGGGGGCCACGTTGGTGGGGCCATAGAGCTGGATCTGGGGCAAGCAACGACGATAGGAGGCGATGACCCCAGAGATCTCTGTGGGCAAAGAGAGGAGGTGAGGCTGGCAGAGATTAGCAGGGAGCCCTTTCCACACTCCTTAAGGCAGGGTGGTGCTTCTGGTCTTAGGACTGCTAGCCACAAGTTCTTCACTAAGCAGAGAGACAGAGTTGGGTGGTCCTTGGAGCTGGAAGAGTTGGGTGAGCCACAGTACTGGAAGTCTTACCAAATGAAGGCAGGCATTGGATGGGTAGAAGGGACAGGAAACTGGGCTCATGGGTATGGGGGTGGTGCTCCTATATGGGATGTACAAACCTGTGCCAGCATGTGTGGCATGGGAACCCTGGCTGATAGGACTTTCTTACCTTCACATTCAGGATTTTCTGGGTCAAAGTTGATAGCAAAGTCGTGGGATACCTGTGAAGATAAAGTGAGAGCAGTGAGGGGATGATTGTTCTCCTGTCTTTTTCCCTTCCCTTGTACTCAGCCTACCTCAAAGTTGGGGGGGATTCGTGCCCCAAAGCCAAAAGCTGGGAACCGCTTATCACTAGAGACAAGAAAAGATTGTGAGGCTCAACAGGCAAGACCTTCCTTTCAGACACTGCCCTGCCTCCCTCTTACCTGTCATAGTCCTGGCAGATCCCTCCCACTGTGCGCAGAGCCTGAAGATAGTGGTTGGGTTGGCGGGGACTGAGGCAGTGTAGGGACTGGCTGCTCCTTGGGTCCCCATTGGAAGCGGTGAAGTCAATAGCCACCTGGTGGGAGTGAAGATGGGGAAAGGGTCATGCTGCAGCCATGAGAGCCAACAGAGAGCCTAAGCTAGAGCTAGGTCTATGGGGAGGGCTAGGATGAGTCTGAGGGAATCCACAGGCAGGCTTACTGTGAGGTGGGATGTGGGGTACAAGGTGACAATGAGACTCATGAAAAGCTTAAGCAGGGGCGGTGGGATTCTGGGTTCCTTCAGTTTGCCATGGACTTAGCTTATTCCCTTTTGCTCCCAGGTTGTGTCCCCATCAGGGGCCTTACTGTGAAGCTGATCTGGCAGCCACCCATGATGTAATCCAGGAAGGTATGCACTTTCTCCACCTGGAATAGGGGGAGATTTGGGAGAATGGGATGGTTCTTTCACAACCTTAAGTAGCACGTCTCTGGGGAAAGTGGAAGGGCCAGAGTTTTTGAGGTTGCAGTTGGGGATGGAATAGGATAAGGGTTCCAGTTCCTGGGAGCAGAGAAACTGGTCTTTGAAGCAAGGGAAAGCTTGAGATTGTGGTAGGGGCAGGAGCAGGGACGGGGTGGGGCATGAGGCAAGAACTGGATTTACCGTGCACTGAGCCAGCACTACTGTCCCTGAGCTCTTGTAATTCTTCTTCTTATCCCGATACTTGGGATTGATACAGTCCCACTGCATCTAGACCCCACCCACCCCACAAGTACAGGGTCATAAGTCCATCGGGTGGCTGCTCTTGTCCCTTCCCAGCAGAGCTTGCCAAAGCAAGACCCCCATGGCCCTGTCTTTCAGCTGAATTCGGGCTCTTTCCACCCTCTCCACCTCTGTCACCTACAGTGGTCTCTTCAGCATCACCCTCAGAATTCCCCAATGCATCTGGGTGGGATTCTGGGGATAGAGTGGGGTCTTTGTGGCACCTCCTGACCAGGGTTTGCCGTCCCTTCCTGCATCTCCTGGAAAGTGCTAGTAAACTCTCCGATGAAGTCATGCTTCCCACTGGAGTCATAGTCGTACACCAGGAACTGGGGAGGGAGGAGAAGAGTAGGGGCTAGGGTTAGAGATGCTCTGCAGTGATTGCCTAGGGTGGTGGGGCCTCACAGCCCTCACAGCCTCTAGGCCCAAACAGAGGTTCTTCATTTGTCTAGAGAGGCCATCTGCTGAACTTTGTTCTTTTCGCTCAGTCTGCCAGGAACTTTGGCCTCTGATAAAAGACACATGTGGGAAGCTTAACTTTGAGCTGTGAACTGTTATTTATTTCACAGTTAAAAGTGCTTATCACATGAGGGAGAAGGAGGAGGCTTGCCACACTCAGCAGGGAAGGTTCAAAGTAGGCTGTGCTTGCTCGGCTGAGGCTTTACCTTGAGGGGCCGGTGGATATCACAACTGCACAGGGAATGCAAGGACAGGCGGAATGGCTCCCAGCTGGGGTTCAGGTTGTTTTTCACCACCTTGGAGAGGCACCGGGAACTGGTCACTTCCTGTCCAGGTTTGCCTACTCTGTTCTTCCCACCTCCATACCACAGCCCCAGGCACCAACCTCAGTCCTCCAGACCAGCTGATCGCTCTGGTCCCCATTGGTCTTATAGATCTCCATGAAAGGGTCAGATTTGCTGAACAGATCCTGGAGATCCAGGAGAAGGGGCCTATAAGTCTGGAGAGGTCTGCAAAGAGGGCTGGAGAGGAGGCTAACACAGAGAAGGGCGCAGGCCTGGGCCCCTGGGATCTGTTTCCAATGGGAGGCCTTTGACTCTAACAGGGGGCCTGGACTCTGGGGTTCCAACCTTGTTGTCCAGCTTGTGAGCTCTGAAGGTGAGTTGTACATAGTCATTGGTACCAGATACCTCCTCAGCCACGATCTGCAAGGGAGACACAAATGGTAGGACTTCCTTCTTCCTACCACAAGAGCCATGCTATACTCCACAGGTGGAGGTAGTCCTAGGCATGATATCACCATCAATATCCATGCAGGAGTATTGAATTCCTGGCCAAAGGTGAGCACAGGTGATCTTGCCTACCGTGATAGTAGACTTGCCCGCAGTCTTCCCATTCTTCAATAGTAATGGCTTCGTGACCTTGGTTTGTGATACAATCTGGGGATAGACATGAAGGGAGACCCAGATATAGTGCTTCCACTATAGCCAGGGCATAAGGAGTGGAAGAATAAATGATCACTGAGTGTCTGCGAGGGTTGGTCCTTTGACTGGGCTAGAGCTGGACTCATTTCCTACAGCAGCCTTAAAAGGGAAGTATAGGGGGCTGGGGGTGTGGCTTGACAGTAAAGGGTCTGCTTAGCATGCACAAGCCCCTTCTTCAGTCCTCGGCCCTCTCCTTGCCACACACCCAAAGAGGGGGACTCTATAACATCCGTTCCCACCATATTTGAGCTAGGGAAACTAAAATTCAAGGAGGTTAAGTGTCTTTCCCAACGCCACACAGCCTGTGAATGGTGGTGTTGGGATTCAAGCCCAGAATGAACTAGCTCCAGAGCTCATGCTCTCTCTTATTTTGGCTTCCAGAGGCAGAAGCTAATGAGGGTGGGATAGAGTGGGAATGCAGACTTGGCCCAAAGTGCACTCCGTGGAACCGAGGAAGGTGTCATTGCTGGGGCTGGTGGCTCCATCCTCAGCATCAAACACGTGGAATTGCAGGGGCTGTTTCTCTTCAAAAAAGTACTCGAGGGCCAGCACCCGGGAGAAGACAGGGTTAGAGCAGGAGCGAAGCACCTCTGTGCGTTCCACCTGTGGCAGGAAGGGTGAGGGCCTTTTGGGAACTGAGGCTACTTTTCCTTGCCCTGGTCTGCCCAGGTCACGCCAGCTGTCATTAGCTCCCACATCCCCCAAAAGCGGCTCTTTTCTTCCTGGGCTATCCCTGAGCTTGGGGTACTGCCAGTTGGGTATTGAACCCTCAGCCCTGTGGGGCTCTCATCAGGCCTGTGGGGTGATCTCAGGAACCTGTAAAATGGTTTCGGTTTGTAATGATGGCATGCTTGTCTCCATGGTTACCCACATAGCCTAGAAAAGGTCCCCTGGAGTCCTCACATTCCCTTATGAGGCTCTCATTGCCCCCCTTACCCTCCCTCCGTTCCAGGTTTAACCCAGGTTAGTTAAGGAAAAACCCCGGAGCTGCTCTCACCTCCACCCACTGCTCATCAGAGAAGAGCTTGAGCAGCACGCAGGGGTGGGGCTTGGTGAGCGTGTCTCGGTCCAAGAGGCCATGGCAGGACACCCGCAGCTCCACTCGAGAGGCCCCCAGTGTCATGGCTGGGGGCTCAGGCACCCATCCCATCTCAGGGTCCGACATGTTACTGTGGGGACAGAGCAGATGGCCTGGACACTGGAAAGAGAGGGGGCGTCTGTTCTCTGGGGACCCTGGGCCAGTAACCCTTCCCCTCCTTCCTCAAACCCTGGGATTTCACGGACATTCTGCTTCCCCTGCCCTCTGTTTGGCTTCGCCAGAGCTCTGAGCAGGAGAGAGCAGAGGACCAGAGCGTCTCACTTCAGCACAGGATACCTGTGCTTCTGTCACCCCTGCCAGCCTAGGTGTGCATGGATGGGACAGTAAAGGGCTGGAGGGTTGGGATGGGGGTGGTTCCTGGCAGTCTTGGCTCCTAGGTCGTCCATCGATCCATACTTTCTGCTGTCTCAGCACCTTCTGCTATTTCCCGACTGGTGTTGGAGCCAGCACTGCACTCAGTCTTGGCATGAGGGAACAGAACTGGGGCAAGGGGGTGGGGCAGGGGTGGGGAGGCCCCTGGAGGTCTGAAGAGAAAAGGCCTCAGGAATGAAGTCTGCAATGGGCAGGAGGAGACAGGTTTGATGGTGACCTGCTGGGCTGTCCCTGTCCTCTCCTTACCCCTTCTCACCTTCTGGCTACCTGATGCGAAAGGAGGGAGGTGGGTTTGGGGAGTTAAGAGTCAGGACCAGGGCTCTGTTGAAAGCTCCTACAGGGGCTCCCACTATGACAAGCCTGCATCCCTCTCCCTTCCCCTGTTCTCACACTTCCTGGCAGCACTGCCACTGTCTCTTAGCGACAGGGCTTTGGGGGAACCACGGCCCCCTCCATGCTGCCTGTGGGATGCATGCGCACCACCCTCCCCCAGCAGTGGTATCAAACCTCGGGGAGCAGCAGACAGGGGTACACTGGCCTGAGTGCATGTCTGGTCAGTCTATCTACCTCTGTCTGTCCAGGTCTCGGGGTGAGGCTGTCTGATCCCATGCTGTTCTTCTCCAAGCGGGTGTGCATTGGTGTGTTTGAGTGGCCCACCCTCTGTCTGTCCCTCTTTGTTCTGTGCCCATCTCCAGGAGGGTATGAGAGTACCTGTACCTTGGTCAGAACCGAGAGCCTTCTCTGGCCGGATACCCACCTGCTCATGATGTGTGTCTTTCTGAATGTGTGAGGAAGGGTCTGGGCTGGGGGATCTTTGCCTTCCTGCCACAAATCTCCCAGTTCTTGTAAGTCCCCCAAGGTAGGCAGGGAAATGTGGTGGTGAGGGGACTGGGCAGGGCTGGAGACCTCTCTGGGTGCTAGAGGGGATGTTGTTCTGGAGATGGGGCCAGGCTGGGCTAGGCTGGGGCTAGGCTAGGGAAGAAGGGTGGGCTCACCTGGGTTCTCTGTTGGGGGGCTCCTGTCTTCAGTGCTCCGGCCCTGGCCCTGACTTCCTTGCTGCTCCAGCCGCTGGCGCCGGCTCCAGCTCCGGCTCTGCTGCTATTTATGGGGCCTGGATGGGGAGGGGTGGGGGGCCGCAGCACCAGCTCCCCCCGCACAGATGGGTTGGGAGGGAGATGAGGGAGGGCAGGGCCACCGCCTGGGAGGGAATCACAGAACTGGGGGAGGAGGGCGGGCTGGGGTGGCTCTGAGGCAGGACCCCCACAGACACAGTGACATACATCTTCCCCTTCACACCACACCCACACCCAGCATCACAGAAATGCACACATTGCTGTGGTACATGCACACACACATCCACACCGAGAAATGATGGCGACACATGCACCCACGACTCAGGCTCACACATAACTTGACACCAATAGGCGCCAGTCCGTAAACTCACAGTGACACCATGACAGTTACAGCCTCACTGATATACAGTAGGAAACACTCTCAGTCTTATGGCACTTTCAACAGTATTGTACTTATTAAGGATATTTGCAGTAGCATATAAAAGAACACTGGGCTGTCCTTGTCACACATACACATACACTCACACTCACCAACCCTGAACACAGCAGAATGTTGATTTTTCACATTCTCTTTAAAAACCATCACGTATCACTCTGGACCTCATAGCTTTGGGAATGACATCCGGTTCCCTCACCACCTTTCAATGAGATACGGGAAATGCTCATGATAGCTTAGGACACGCAGACTTTTGTCCCCAGAGGACAGGCTGCACAGAAGGGGCACGTGCTGAAGGTCTGACTCCCAAGGCATCTTCCTAGTACCACAATGTACCCCTCCCAGAGATTCAACCCATATGGCCACATCTTTGTGGGAGGGGCCGTGCCACGCACAGATCTTAAGAAAATACACATTACTCATTCTAGTGAGACCAGAGGAAGTGAGCAATTGCCTGAGGAGCCACATGTGAGAACATTTGGGCACAAGGTGATCTTGGATGAATATACAAGAGCATTTACCAGGACATCTTCACTGTCCATCCTCCATCCCTTAAGCTGCTCATTTATCAAGGTAGCGACCATTTATTAACCATCTCCTGAATGCCCAGCATTGGGCTAGGGCTAAGTCTAGTGATTAAACCCTTGTCCTCGGAGGAGACAGATGTATATAAAACAGAGAGATCCACACTCAGAGATGATAAGCCTATCTGAAATGCGATTGAGTATGACAGGTGAAAAATTATGGGCCTGCTTAGAGTGCAGTGGGGACACCTGAGAAAGGGTTCAATTTGGGTGAGTGGGGAAGGCATCAAGAAGGGTGTCACAGGGGAAGAGGCTGAGTGGGCTCTTGAATACCAAGGAATTATTTGTTAGGACGTCGAGAGAAATGATTAATTTAATTATTGATCTTCTCATACTGTGGTTTTTTTTTTTATTATTGAGGGTGTCTACAGGATGATACACATGTAAATTTGTTAGTGAGCATGTGAGTGCACAAACACACACACACAGAACTCCCCAGTCTCCCCAGGTATACTGGGGTCTTCCAATCCCATCCCATCCCCTGAAACTGGACATACATTGTGTTGGTTTCTGTCATTTTGGTTCCTTCTGTAGCTCTGACCTTACACTAACCTCCACCCTAGCTTGGGGACTCTCACTCCCTTCTGTCAGCAGTTCTCTGTTCTTTTCCCTTTTTTTCTTGGAACCCCAGCCCCATCACTGTGGGAGTATACCTCATGTTCCCCCACAGTGGCCAAGCCCTGGGGCTTATGGGAAAGGAGCAGATGGAGGTGGACTGGAGGCAGTGAATAGATAGCAGAGACTTGAGGCAGACAGTGATTTTATTTTTTTATTCTATACAAGTAGGAAGAAAGCCCCTGGGCATAGAGGGACAGAGATCCACCCTCCCAGGGGAGGAGAAAGGCCCCCCCACCATGAAGCTATCTGCAGAGCATGGTGTTGAGGCAGGCATTGAGAGCACCCCCCAGGTTGCTCCCTCCCTACTAGTCCCCACATCTCCCCTGTGCCTAGTCCTGCCATGTTGCCCTGTAGGACACGTGTTGGCGGGGGATCAGGGGAGCAGTGGGGGAAATGGGGGTCTGAGTCCTTATGAGGCACATGTCGCGGAAGGCTGGGGAGGGTGTTTAGCGGCATCAGTCTGTTCCTGGCTCACTGGTTCCTGCTGGGAACAAATTCAGGGAATCCTGTTTCCTGGATAGGGAGAGCCAGCCACCCAGTGTTGGTATGTAAAGGAGTGCTGTGTTAGACAGGTCAGTGGGAAGGGGGACCCGCCCTCTCACCCCTGGCACCTGCAGGGTCAGGGGGCCGTCTTCTATCAGGTTCCAGCTTGTCACAGGACTGTGCCCGACGTGTCCTCTTGGGCTTCAGAGGGGCTGTTCGGCGGCTTGGATCAGGTGGCCCTAAAATGATAGTCACAGCAAACCTGGCACATGAGGGAGACTTACAGGCTGGGTTGCTCATGCAGGCTGTGGCTCCTGGTTGTCACTTATTCCATGCCTTGACTGCATGTGGGCAGCAGGTCCCAGAGCACCCCTGGGCCCTCAGCCAGGGAGGCAGACCTTGAACTTCTGGCTCCTCTTGATCCTGTTGTGAGCCCAGTCTCATCCGGGGCTTGTTAACTCCTAGGGCTGCACCCCCAGCCTCAGCCTCCTCCTTGCCCCCTGGCACTTGGGGGGGACAGCGACCCCTGGGCACAGCCACTGGCTTGGGGGGGCGTGGAGCTAAAGGAGGATCCTGCAGCTGGCAGAGGAAGGGAGATGTTGGGTCAGTTGGTCTCTCTGTCCCATCAAAGAACCTTCCCTACCCACTTTGGGATCCTTACCTTGGCATTCCTAGCTGGAACTGTCCTCTCTGTGGATAAGGTCCCTCTTCTTCCTCTCCATCTTGGAAGGCCGGGCTAGGGCTCTGGCAGCTGTGGTTGGGAGCACTCTCCTCAGCTGGGGGAAGGGGACAGGAGAAGCTATAGAAAAAACCATTCTTGCAGAACCCTCCCTTGATAATCCTTCCACGAAGCCCTGCAGATCAGGACTTTCCCCCCAAAGCCCATTTGATCCAATATCTTTGCCTTCCATGTCCCCTCCTACTCCCACAGTTCTTAGGTGGTGCCTGGGATCACACTGAGGCTGTCACCTCTGGAGGGGACTCTGGCCTAGCTGCCCCTCCTGCAGAGCAGAGTCCAGGGCTTTTCCTGTTGGAGCAGAGCCAACACACAGGTCCTGTTGGGTCCACAGGTGTGGCTGCCTATCCAGGGCTTCAGTGCCCCAGGGCTCTACCAAGGCTGTGGCCTGGCATTCCCAGTGCTGTTTGTAAGTCTGATTTAGAAAGTAGGAGCCTCAAGGAGAGGTGCCCTTGACCCCTCCCCAGCTCTGTGGGAGCATAAGGGTAGCACAGCTGGAAGATGTTGTCTGTGTCCATCTGTGTATGTGCATGCATGAGCGTGCATGCGTGCACATGCGTGCAGCACGTGGCTACTGTGGTTTCCTAAGTGAAGGATAAAGTCTTGCTTTGAATGCTTTACCTAGTCTGTGTGAGGGGTAGAAAATCAGCAAAGATGCCCTCAGTGCTGTGTTGGCTCAGAGGGTAGGCACACAGTACTGACAAACCTCCCCCGACAGGGGAGGGAGGGGATGGGCACAATGGAACAGGAAGGGACAAGAGGAGTAGGTGGCCCAAGCCAGACCCGCCTACTCATCTCTTAGCTCCTCCCAACCCTATGCTCAGGCCTAGGGTGGAAGTATCGGAGGGTGAGCGGGTGTCTGTGTCTTCAGGGTGATTTTGCCGAGATCAATATGGTTGGAGGTCTTATTCCAGGCCTTTGGGAACTAAGTTGATGCTGAGCAGAGCAGCTTTTCTCTAGTGGCTCTTTAACTGGAAGGTGCTCTGAACTGAGCAGGAGAGGAACATCACACCTAGAATAAGCCTCTCCTTTTATTCCCTCCAGGCATGAAGCCAGAAAGTGAGTGACCTGTTTTAGGTTATAGGTGGCTGAGTAGCCTAATACCCAGGGCTTCTGACCTTCAAGGAAGAGCTCTTGCCTCTTCTTTGGGGCACCTGAGTAACCTAAGGATGAGTTGATGAGCTTTTTTTGCAGGAGGCTGGAATGTCTGAAGTGGGCCTGGTAGAGCTAGCACTTACCAGTAGCTGGAATTGCCTACCCTCTTCCCAGATAAGATATAGAATGATGCCTAGTATATAGAGAGCACTACTATGCTGACAGTGACCGGAGGTGGCATCTATCCTAGAGAATTCACCAGAACCATTCACATCCTGGCGAAGCCACTTTTGCTCCATAGAACCTTTGGATTGGGTTGTTTGACTCTTTTAGAGGTAGCTTTGTAAATACCCTTAAACATTTCTCCTGTGTTGACTTTCCACCACCCCTCCTTGGTTGCAAATCCCCCAGGGCAATGGCCACAGTTTCTATTTCTTTGGACACACCCTGGGCCTTTAGTGTTGCTTCCTGAAAAGAGGTTTTTCTTCCTTCCTCCCCTGCCCTCCCTCCCTTCCTTCCTTCCTCTCTCCCCCCATCTTTTTCTTTCTTTCTTTCTTTTTTGGTGGTGCTATAGTTTGAACTCAGGCCTTCACACTTGCTAAGTAGGCTCTCTACCACCTGAGCCATGCCTCTAGCCCAAGAGACTTTTCATACCTATGTGCCATGTGGCCTCTGCTCGGCGCATGGCACTGAAGCTTGGCTTGGTGCTTTGGGGTGGTGGTGGGGGCTTCCAGGCTCCAGGTCCTGGAGTGGAGGGAAGGGATGTGAGATTAGAAAGGGAAAGGGAAAGGCAAATTAGGAAGGGTCCCTTAGAAAGGGGTTAAGGAAGGGAGTAAAGGAGACCATGCTCACCCGCATCATCTGACGAACGCCGTTTCTGCCAAGCCTGGGAGCTGTCCTCCAGGTCTGGGCCGGTGCCCTGAAAGGACCAGCAAGTCAGGCCATGAGAAAAGTCTCCTCCAAGGTGGGGGTAGAGGAAGACTGCAGTGACAAAGGGCTTCTGCTTTAGCATCTCATCAATTGCATGTTACTACTTCCTAGACACTTGGATCATGTTTCTCAAAAAGTGGCACCCATA